TGCAACCTCTTAAAAACAAAAAGCACAATTAAGTCGACATGTACAAGTAGTTCTTTCAAAATTCCCCAGCACAGAAAAGACACTATTTCTTAAATGTTTAGGAAAATGCCTTCCAAATGCAAGCTAGCATGCGAATAAATCTGATCATTTAAAAGAAGAAAAATGATGCTAAGTTTGTCTTAGAAGACCTCAATACAAGACTACGCTGACTGTAAGAGGTCATTAGACGCTTACTCAAACCAAGTCAGACAGTCAAAACAGTAAGCAATATACTGACATACCAGAGAGGATTACCTACCTAGGTAGCCAGCGCAGAAAAACCATGAGCTCAGGCCTGTATCAATCAACTACAGTCCTGATGATCAACTGCAGACTGGTACAAGGTGTAAGATCAATAACATCACCTTCCTAGTTATCAGAGCTAGCAGACACAGTACAGGGAAGAGAAACCTATCTTTGATACGCTCTAGAAGACCTACTTTTTAAACACAAAAAAGCTATTTATAGTTTGTAAACAACCCTTCCCCTGCCCCCTTTCTTTCAAACAGGAGTTTTCAAAAAAGCTTTCCAGAGCTTTTCAATTACAAACTGATCAATTTTATATTGACAGTAGAGCCTTTAGGTAAAAATCCATGTCCAGTGATAGCTGAAACTATGAAGTTTCTTAAGATTGAAAAGACTGGAGGTGATTACATTAGAAACAAAACACAAAAGGAGGCTGGACTAGGAGTTTCCATCTAATAAAACAAATATTGACTAATTGATCAGTGATAAATGCAAAGCTAGCACCAACTGCAGAATTCAAGAACAAGCTAATGTAAAAAAAGTTATGATACAAAGACTAGATATTGACAACAACACAGAGAATATTCTGAAATATCGATCCCTGAAGTTTGTGGAAGCAACATAAAGTCATAAGATTATACAATAAAAACCAGGGAAGGTGATGCCTACTGTGGCATTAGAGCACTTCTCCCACCAGCACCACCTAAAATAGCCTGTGTGACAGTACTGGATGAGGTGGTCTACTGAATCGGTCCAGAAATCCAATTCCTCTATTGCTAATTAGAGATCATCTCTAGGATAACAAGTACTGGGCTTACTAGACATCATGTGGACAACGGAGGTGGAGTTCTTCCACATGTTTTTAATGATTTTTACCCATCAGCTATCCAGATAAGCTAAAAAATAAGTTTTGCAGCTAAGCAGTGCATCTGAATATATTCAGAAAAATATTCTGAAACTGAAGCTCAAGTCATTAAAGAGAAACTAACACTTATCCATTTATATACCTAGGAGATTTTTTTCCCCCCTTTAAAGTTTCACATAATTATGTTTTTATTTTCACTTGACTTATACAGAGACTCTGCTCCTAGTAGGCGCAATGCCCTCTCCGACTCCTTTGCTCCACAGTGCCTTGCGCATGAAAAACAAAAAAACAACAAAAAACCCACACACACCTCTGATCAAACTCATAGGCGAGATCCAGCCTATGAGACAGCAATGAAGGTTCAATCACTTTCAGTTTTGTTTCAGAGGCTTTAAAGCCATGAGTTTGCAAAAGCTAAATTTCAAGGTTACGTATTTTCTCTCCCACTACCCTTACATTTTTTAAACAAAGCTTTAATTCTAAGTCTCCCAGCTGCAGAGGCAATCTAACATAGCAATGCCACATTCAAATGACAACTCTGCATGTACATTAAAGTCATTAAGTAGCAGTACTACTGCAGTATTGCCGTATACAGATATTAGCCTAACACCATACTGCATATGGCCTGGCATAGCTCAGTCCATCTCTGCTGTGCCGCTATCACATATAAACACCTCCACCCCATTCCCTTCCCCACGGCTAACGCAGTTTTATGCACATAGCTGTCTTCTGTACAAGGGAGAGGAAGAGGCCAAAAGCATTCTGCCTACACCCCTGCAATATGCTGTTGCAGAACAGAGATATGGGGTATGCAGGGTCAGCCCCAGGAAGCGAGCAGTTTTGGGAGTGTCTGCACTGGGGCAGAAGGTCCTGTACCCCAAGGGGCAGGCAAGGAAGGTGAGGGACAGGTCTGGGTGATGGTAGTATCGCTTCTTCTCTAACCTACGATCTAGGGTGTTAGGAAAAAGAGGAAGATCCCACCCCAAACACACACATACACAGTAGCTACAAAGGCCTCAAGCCCCTAATAGCTTTTGAGATGCAGTGTTTCACGTTCCTTTTATCAGCACCACAGAAACTGAAATTGTATCAGCAGCCACTACTCATTTGTTCCTTATTTCAGCAGTATTCACTTGTTATTTAAAAATATCCATCTCAAAGTGTTTAAACTCAAGATAAATACAACATTGGTTGTATATTTGTCAACATAATCCAGGTAGACAGCTACATTAGTTTTATAGCCAAACGCCAGAGTCCATTTGCTTATCTCCATGCTAATGAGACAGTATGAACGTCATAAACATTCTGTAAAATGTCTTTTTTGTTTGTTTGGAGTTTTTTAATTAATTTGGGGAATAAAAACACTTCATAAAGCAGCTACTCATTTCCATGTATTGTAACTCCTAGTTATTGAAGAAACAAAGTAATCCTAAATCTCTCTTTACAATGATAGATTTTGAGCTATTAAAACACAAAAAAACAGACCCTGAGTTATAATAGCTTCACAAAAGTGTTAACTATTTTACTGCTAGCAAGCATTGAGCTAAATGGCATTATCAGGAAGTCAGGAACCACAAGACTGATTCATTCTTACACCAGGGTAAACATATCCATGGCATGTCTGACTCTCAAATGCAGAGAAAGACAGGCTCCTCTTCCCAATTCAAAAGCAGAACAGTTAACTGGGAAAGATCCAGAAATAGGTAACAAGTATTAGTCCTCCACATCTCTCTCTTATCACTCATTAGGAAAGAAAACCTTATAGTCTCTCAAGCCTACAATAGATACAACCAAGGAGCGAGTGCAACAGCAATCTAAGAAATCATGAGTGGCATAGGGAAGATGAGTACTATGGTTCTCACAGCACAAAAGCCAGAGAGAAACAAGTTATCTGAAGGTAGGCCGGACCAAAAAAAAAACAAAAAAAAACAAACCACACAGTCACACAAGCACTCCTCCAAACAAAAGCAGACAGTTCTTCACAAATTTAATTAACGGGGGGAAACCTTTACTTCCCAATATCGCAGACACTAACCATTTAACCAGATTCCAGCAGCAATTAATTCTCAGAAGACAAACTCATCAAGGGCTATTAAGCACAAAGATATTCCCTTCTGACTCAGGCAGCCCCTGAGTCACAGGCACCCGGAAAGCAAGAGACTATACTGAAAGGACTATCACCCTGCTTTGCCTGGTCCCTCTGCCGCTTAGACACAGCCCCAGAGGAGTGCCAGGACTGCGGCCCTCCGAACTGACCCTGCCAGGTTTTATGCCCATTAAACAGCACTTTCAGAGGCAGCAAAGATATTCCCTTCTGACTCAGGCAGCCCCTGAGTCACAGGCACCCGGAAAGCAAGAGACTATACTGAAAGGACTATCACCCTGCTTTGCCTGGTCCCTCTGCCGCTTAGACACAGCCCCAGAGGAGTGCCAGGACTGCGGCCCTCCGAACTGACCCTGCCAGGTTTTATGCCCATTAAACAGCACTTTCAGAGGCAGCATCGTAGATACCG